AACAGTTATAACCTCCAGGACTTATCATTCACCCCCAATGCTGATAACCTACTTTCATGCTCTCTTCATTTGACAATGCTATATTAGCGGATTGCCCACTCCACTCTACCTCCCAGTAGAAGCAGGCACAAGACAGACCCTCTCTACACAGCACCTGGGGGTGGTTGATCAATCTGACTGGATGGTCCGAATAGGAACATTTGTGGTCACTTTTCTGTACCCCGCAGACAGACACAAATTAATTTACTGTATTGGGATCCAATGTCAGCTGGCAAGAGTCTAAGAAGAGGAGAAATAAAGATATTGAAAATGAATGTGTGTGTGTGTGCTTCAATTTACTCACATTCTAATAACTCCTCTCTGGTCTTGGGCTCAACAGGGCGTTCCATCTGAACATCAGTCACTATGGAGACAGACCGACTCATCTTATAACGCACATTGTTGAAGAATTGTCTCAAATTAAATCAAGCTGTCAGAATATGATTGTGTGTATGGTCATTTTTGCACTTTGCACAATTATTTTGTCCTATGAAAATGTTGCCCTAAGTATGTTAAGTTGAAAGCCTGTAAGAAGGTCTGTGAGAGGGTTTTGTACATGCAGGAACGGTCATGTATGCTTTTTACATAATACTGCAGGAAGGATAAACCGATATGCCTTGCTAATCGGTTTCATATACAGTGAATTCGGAAAGTTTTCAGACCCCTTGACTTTTTCCACATTTTGTTACGTTACAGCCTTATTCTAAAATTGATTAAATAAATAAAAATCCTCATCAATCTACACACAATACCCCATAATGACAAAGCAAAAACAGAATTTAGATTTTTTTTTGCCAATTTATTACAAACTGGGAATCCAGTTTAATCATTTTTTAAATAAAATGTTAAGCAGTGATGTATGTGTATTTACACTGCAAGGGATATGTAGACTTTCACTGGGTGTGTAGAGTTTCACTTGGAACTGTAGGGTGGCAGGTAGCCAAGAAGTTAAGAGAGTTGTGCCAATAACCGGAAGGTTGCTGGTTCAAATCCCTGAGCAGACTAGGTGAAAAATCTGATGATATGCCCTTAAGCAAGGCGCTTAACCGTAGTTGCTCCTGGAAGTTGTTTCGGATAAGAGCGTCTGTGAAAATGTTTGTCCTTTAGGAGATGTATGGATAGACAGGCCTCAGATCCAGTAGAGAGACTGGAAACTCTACAGAGGGAAATGTTTGAAAAACTAATTTTACTTTAGATCAAGCTCATTTCACTGAGAAATAAGTCTAGTCAGAGATAGCCATTACAGAGTATTTTGGGGGACACCTAATTTAGAGATGTCACCTGGAGGAAATGGATTTGATCTTCTGAGTTTGAGAGCTGCTCCAGGTCAGCATCTCTCCTCCTTATGTCAGCAAACTCCTGCTCCAGTTTCTCTTTCAACTCGACTCAGTTCAGACCATTCCTGGGCTCTGATCAGCTCCTTCACATACGAGCGCCTTCTCTCAATGGAGTGGCTGAGCTCAGTAAAGATCCTCTCACTGGCTTCCACTGCTGCCAGTGCAGAGTGCTGTAAGGATTCACACACAGAGGAGGGGGGTCCATTTCATCCAGTCCATTCACTCAGCTCTTACCTGGATCCCAGACAGCCTGGAAATGTAAATATGTATATAATTTACATAGATGACCCCAACACTTAGCTTCAGAGTCCACAGCCTGTCTCACGTCCTGCATCTCTTTCTGTCTCTCCTGGATTGTCTGTTGGGATTTCTGATGTTTCTCCTCCAACTGTTTGCATATAAATAAATCCTATGAATGTGAAATGCCTTTAGCCATTTATATTTTGAAACTATTTATATTCTAGTGTTTGTCATGTTTGAAATACACTGCTCAAAAAAATAAAGGGAACACTTAAACAACACAATGTAACTCCAAGTCAATCACACTTCTGTGAAATCAAACTGTCCACTTAGGAAGCAACACTGATTGACAATAAATTTCACATGTTGTTGTGCAAATGGAATAGACAACAGGTGGAAATTATAGGCAATTAGCAAGACACCCCCAATAAAGAAGTGGTTCTGCAGGTGGTGACCACAGACCACTTCTCAGTTCCTATGCTTCCTGGCTGATGTTTGGTCACTTTTGAATGCTGGCGGTGCTTTCACTCTAGTGGTAGCATGAGACGGAGTCTACAACCCACACAAGTGGCTCAGGTAGTGCAGCTCATCCAGGATGGCACATCAATGCGAGCTGTGGCAAGAAGGTTTGCTGTGTCTGTCAGCGTAGTGTCCAGAGCATGGAGGCGCTACCAGGAGACAGGCCAGTACATCAGGAGACGTGGAGGAGGCCGTAGGAGGGCAACAACCCAGCAGCAGGACCGCTACCTCCGCCTTTGTGCAAGGAGGAGCAGGAGGAGCACTGCCAGAGCCCTGCAAAATGACCTCCAGCAGGCCACAAATGTGCATGTGTCTGCTCAAACGGTCAGAAACAGACTCCATGAGGGTGGTATGAGGGCCCGACGTCCACAGGTGGGGGTTGTGCTTACAGCCCAACACCGTGCAGGACGTTTGGCATTTGCCAGAGAACACCAAGATTGGCAAATTCGCCACTGGCACCCTGTGCTCTTCACAGATGAAAGCAGGTTCACACTGAGCACGTGACAGATGTGACAGAGTCTGGAGACGCCGTGGAGAACGTTCTGCTGCCTGCAACATCCTCCAGCATGACCGGTTTGGCGGTGGGTCAGTCATGGTGTGGGGTGGCATTTCTTTGGGGGGCCACACAGCCCTCCATGTGCTCGCCAGAGGTAGTCTGACTGCCATTAGGTACCGAGATGAGATCCTCAGACCCCTTGTGAGACCATATGCTGGTGCGGTTGGCCCTGGGTTCCTCCTAATGCAAGACAATGCTAGACCTCATGTGGCTGGAGTGTGTCAGCAGTTCCTGCAAGAGGAAGGCATTGATGCTATGGACTGGCCCGCCCGTTCCCCAGACCTGAATCCAATTGAGCACATCTGGGACATCATGTCTCGCTCCATCCACCAACGCCACGTTGCACCACAGACTGTCCAGGAGTTGGCGGATGCTTTAGTCCAGGTCTGGGAGGAGATCCCTCAGGAGACCATGCGCCACCTCATCAGGAGCATGCTCAGGCATTGTAGGGAGGTCATACAGGCACGTGGAGGCCACACACACTACTGAGCCTCATTTTGACTTGTTTTAAGGACATTACATCAAAGTTGGATCAGCCTGTAGTGTGGTTTTCCACTTGAATTTTGAGGGTGACTCCAAATCCAGACCACCATGGGTTGATAAATTTGATTTCCATTGATCATTTTTGTGTTATTTTGTTGTCAGCACATTCAACTATGTAAAGAAAAAAGTATTTAATAAGATTATTTCATTCATTCAGATCTAGGATGTGTTGTTTAAGTGTTCCCTTTATTTTTTTGAGCAATGTATGTTATGCCCTATATGAACTCAATGTGAGGATTGGCAACAACAACTTCTCCACACTAACTCTAAACTCAGGGGCCCCCCAAGGGTGTGTCCTCAGTCCACTACTGTACTTCCTGTTCACCCACGACGCGTGGCTTTGCACAACACCAACTCCATCATGAAGATTGCTGACGACACCACAGTTGTAGGCCTGATAACCAACAATGACGAGTCAGCCTATAGGGAGGAGGTAAGTGAACTGGCATTGTGGTGTTATGACAACAACCTCTCCCTCACCGTCAGCAAAACAAAGGAGTTGATTGTTGACTTCAGGAAGCAGAGGAGGGAAGATGGCCCGGTCCACATCAACGGGACTACAGTAGAGAGAGTCATGAGTTTTAAGTTCCTCGGCGTCCACATCACTGAGGACTTGTCATGGACCAACAACACCACCACTTTTGTCAAGAGTGCGCAACAGTGTCTCTACTTTCTAAGGCGTCTGAAGAAATTTGGCATGCCGCCCCGGGTCCTCTCCAAATACTACCGCTGCATCATCGAGAGCGTCCTGACAGGTTGCATCACGGCCTGGTACGCGAATTGCTCCTTCCACGACCGCAATGCCCCCCAGCCACGAGCTGTTCTCTCCCTTACCGTCGGGCAGACGGTATCAGAGCATGAAGTCTGATACCAACAGGCTCAGAGAAAGTTTCTATCTACAAGCCATCAGACTGCTGAACACTTGAACTGGACTGACCACCTGCTTCTGATTCTCCGCACCTTAGCACACAGGCATTCACTCATGCACACACCCACACAGACATACACACACACATATACATTCATGATACGGCAGGTAGCTTAGTGGTTAAGAGCGTTGTGCCCGTAACCGAAAGGTCGCTGGTTCTAATCCCTGAGCCGACTAGGTGAAAAATCTGTCGATGTGCCCTTGAGCAAGGCCCTTAACCCTAATTGCTCTGGATAAGAGTGTCTGCTAAATGACTAAAATGTAAATACACATACATCACTGCTGCTACCAGACTCTTATTATACTGCCCCCATCCCCCCTTCCCCAATACACATGTAAATATTGGACTATAAATTGTGCCTTCCTGTATTATACTTATACATTATAAAGGTTTATTCTATTCTACTGAGCCATTAACTTTATGTTTGTATTCTTATCTTGTATTAATTATTGTTGTGGCATTGTCGAGAAGGAACCTGCAAGTAAGCATTTCATTGGACGATGTATACCATGTGTATCCCGTATATACGACTAATAATAAAACTTGAAACAATGAGATTAAATGTATTCCTAAAAGACAACTGAAGTTTATCCTGACAACAGTTAATGATTGATACTTTATCTATTGTACCTTGATATTTCTGGGCGTTGGCTGTTGTTTTTTGCTCTTCCAGTTACAGTATATCACCTCAGCAAAAACACTTCCATTTAATTATAAATATACTGTATATAGTATATATCATTCTATGTTTAAATGCAAATCGGGGATATCAAACAGTGGAGTTCCCATCCTTACCTGTTTCTCAGTCCTTTCTTCTGCAGTTGAGACTGTATCATGGCCTTTATGTTCATCCATCGCACACAGCAGACAGATAGGCCTACACTGCTGATCGGTACTGCAGTAAAGCTCCAGAAGTTTGTCATGATGAGAGCAGATCTTCTCCTGTAGTTGTGGAGGCGTTGACCAGCTTGTGCTTCTTTAATGGAGCTACTTCATAGTGAGGCTGGGGTTGAGTTTCACAGTAAGAGACCAGACACACCAGACAGGACTTGACTGCTTTGAGTTTTATCCCAGTGCAGAAATCACACTCCACATCTCCAGGTCCAGCATTATAGGGAGCAGGCGGAGCAGCTTGGAGTCCTGTCTTTTTCAGTTTCTCCACCACTTGAGCAAACATAGTGCTTTTGTTTCATACAAGCGCATTTGTTTCCTCTCCTCGCCTCCTCTCCTCGATTACTTTTGACCTTTTTCAAAAAGAGGCGAGGAGAGGAACGAAGGACAGAGGAGAGGAGGCGAGCAAATCCAATTGAGATTCTCTCAAGGTTAGTTGTCCTTGTTCTGAGGAGGAGTGGCATGTATACTGTCAAAGGTAGCTTCCTAGTTCTGAGTTCATACAGCCCCAGGTCTGGCCAGCAGAGGGCATGACTGGTCTCTCACAGCCGGAGAGCGACCATTCTCACAGGCTTAATTAGTGCAATCCTGTTTCCTTGGGACATCCCTACCCTAAACCCTAACCGGTAAAAGCAGCAGAACTACCCTCCCATGGGCCCAAGTGAAATGACCGGTGAATGCAGAGAGAGAATGGAACGTTTTTTTATATATTTTTTAAGGAGAGCATCAAAAACTTTTCTCTGTGTAACATGACTGCGGCAGGGCTTGGGATGGGTCATGTTGACTTGTGCAAGGTAGGAAATTAAGGTCCAGAAACCTTTATTCTATTTTAAAATACTGTTCTGAACCTATTCTCTGCTAATGATGACATGATGACATCAACAGTAATGCAGGTGTATGAGTATAGTGAGGTATGTGGCTGTAATGTTTAGTGTTGGTAATTTGTTCATTATTCACTAATAATTTGGTTGCAAATGCAACTGGGTCCATGTAAATAATTGTTAGGCTACTCATTTTGAATACACAGGTGGCCACCTTGTGTGACCACAAAAGTGCGTGCAACCGGGCACAGTAAAATCATTTCCTGGCAAAAGTTACTATCCTGCCCTACACAATAGAACGCTACACCATATAAACATAATTACTATTGTAATGCATAACTGCCATGGTAATTTTGAATGTTAAGTCATTGAGCATTATGGGTAATGTAGTCATTCTATAGTTTCCATAACTACTGGGAAAATAAACAGAAATACAAAAAACAATGGTATAAAGCAGCCTATGGCATGGTCCCGGGCGATGCACTTCTTCAGCGCCTAAAATGAAGAAAATCTGTTCAAATGGTAGGAGCCTATCCTTCCACAAGTCTGTGGCATACAGGCGTGATCCACTATACCGTGATAATTTGTATAGCCACACTTGCTTCACCCTCATGTGGGTGCTAGCATACTAGCAAGCATGCTAGTTAGTGCTTGGTATCAACAGCCAATCCAGTAGGGGATGGAAGCTATAGTGAGCTTTGATTGGTCAATCGTGCCGCGATATCACAGAGTATTTGCATAAAGTTCAGCTTTTCCCAACTTATGTTCCGCCTTGTTCACACTCCCTCGCCCATGTAGTTCTGTCTTTGAGCTGTTCTTGTCTATTAATGTTCTATATTATGTCATGTTTCATGTTTTGTGTGGACCCCAGGAAGAGTAGCTGCTGCTTTTGCAACAGCTAATGAGGATCCTAATAAAATACAAAATACCCCCACGTTCTCTATTGTTCAGTTGATTTTATGATTAAAATTGTAGAGTTAGCTCTGACATCTGTGGTTGCGTCTATCCTTCAAACCTAACATTTGGCGACTATGGCTGTTTTTTCCCCTAACACTACCCTCTCCCTTTCTCGCTCTGCCTGGTTCGCCCCCGGTTCCATGGACTCAATGTATTTAGTCTTTTGAAACATACAGTTGAAGTCGGAAGTTTACATACACCTTAGCCAAATACTTTTAAACTCAATTTTCACAATTCCTGACATTTAATCATAGTAAAAATTCCCTGTCTTAGGTCAGTTAGGATCACCACTTTATTTTAAGAATGTGAAATGTCAGAATAATATTAGAGAGAATGATTTATTTCAGCTTTTATTTCTTTCATCACATTCCCAGTGGGTCAGAAGTTTACATACACTCAATTAGTATTTGGTAGCATTGCCTTTAAATTGTTTAACTTGGGTCAAACGTTTCGGGTAGCCTTCCACAAGCTTCCCACAATAAGTTGGGTGAATTTTGGCCCATTCCTCCTGACAGAGCTGGTGTAACTGAGTCAGGTTTGTAGGCCTCCTTGCTCGCACACGCTTTTTCAGTTCTGCCCACACATTTTCTGTAGGATTGAGGTCAGGGCTTTGTGATGGCCACTCCAATACCTTGACTTTGTTGTCCTTAAGCCATTTTGCCACAACTTTGAAAGTATGATTGGGGTCGTTGTCCATTTGGAAGATCCATTTGCGACCAAGCTTTAACTTCCTGACTGATGTCTTGAGATGTTGCTTCAATAAATCCACATATTTTCCTTCCTTAATATGCCATTTATTTTGTGAAGTACACCAGTCCCTCCTGCAGCAAAGCACCCCCACAGCATGATGCTGCCACCCCCGTGCTTCACGGTTGGGAAGGTGTTCTTCGGCTTGCAAGCCACCCCCCTTTTTCCTCCAAACATAACGATGGTCATTATGGCCAAACAGTTCTATTTTTGTTTCATCAGACCAGAGGACATTTCTCCAAAAAGTATGATCTTTGTCCCCATGTGCAGTTGCAAACCGTAATCTGGCATTTTTATGGCGGTTTTGGAGCAGTGGCTTCTTCCTTGCTGAGCGGCCTTTCAGATTATGTCGATATAGGACTCGTTTTACTGTGGATATAGATACTTTTGTACCTGTTTCCTCCAGCATCTTCACAAGGTCCTTTGCTGTTGTTCTGGGATTGATTTGCACTTTTCGCACCAAAGTACGTTAATCTCTAGGAGACAGAACGCGTCTCCTTCCTGAGCGGTATGACGGCTGCGTGGTCCCATGGTGTTTATACTTGCTTACTATTGTTTGTACAGATTAATTTTTTTCTGGGGTCTTGGCTGATTTCTTTAGATTTTCCCATGATATCAAGCAAAGAGGCAATGAGTTTGAAGGTAGGCCTTGAAATACATCCACAGGTACACCTCCAATTGACTCAAATTATGTCAATTAGCCTATCAGAAGCTTCTAAAGCCATGACATCATTTTCTGGAATTTTTCAAGCTATTTAAAGGCACAGTCAACTTAGTGTATGTAAACTTCTGACCCACTGGAATTGTGATACAGTGAATTATAAGTGAAATAATCTGTCAGTAAACAATTGTCCTAACCTACTTGCCAAAACTATAGTTTGTTAACAAGAAATTTGTGGAGTGTTTTAATGACTCCAACCTAAGTGTATGTAAACTTCCGACTTCAACTGTACATAACTGTGCTGGGTGTTCGGAACACTTGGCTATGCTGAAAAGTACTCAGACGCTGTTGCTCTTTTGACACAGTCACGCAATATGTTTTTGTTACAGTTAGAGCTGGCACAACTATCATATAATCATGTAATCTACAATTATCGACAATAACTATTTGTTTTTGACAGTGGTTTGTTACAGTCTTTGTTTTTTTCATTTATATTTCGAGGTTGGACGTTAGCACTTTTGGCGCACCAATTGGTGTCACCTCGTTAGTCAGTATGTGTTACACCTTTGCTGGCTTGTCATCAGTCAGAAGTTGTTTTAAGAGCGGCCGGCCCAGTGCTTCAGTTGTCTTGAGAGATGTGGAGGGTTAACACCTTTAGTTGGCACTCCCTATTTTGAGTTCTAGACAAATAATCCTTTACCTGATCTTCCCTGTTTTCATTTTGCTCCACTTTTTGGTTTGCTTCCTGTCTTTAAATTTGGCCTGGGTTTTATTTTGTTTGCCTCTTCTTGGGCATATTCAGTGGGTGCTCATGGTGGGTGTCTTTTAGGGCCCAGTTGTTGTTGCTAGTCAACTTTTAGGGGACACCCCCATGAGTGTCTTTCAGAATCCCTCATAGAACCCCACCTGTTTCGTTTTGGTCATTGTCAGTGACTGTTAGTTCCCCCTTCTGTTTGAGTGACAATTTTTGGTTTGTTGCTGGGGAACATAACAAGTTGAAAAAGTACCCAATTGTCATGCTTGATACCTTAATAGAAAATGACTCAAGTGAAAGTCACCCAGTATAATACTACTTGAGTGAAAGTGTTAAAATATTTGGTTTTAGATATACTTAAGTATCAAAACTAAATGTAATTGCTCAAATATACTTAAGTACAAAAAGTATACATCATTTAAAAATCCTTATATTAAGCAAACCAGACAAAGCTGGGACAATTGTGCACCACTCTATGGGATTCCCGATCATGATACAGCCCGGGATCAAACCCGGGTCTGTAGTGAAGCCTCTAGCACCGCTGTGCCACTCTGGAGGTTTGGAGACGAAAGTGAGGAGAGCAGACATGAGGAGTAAGGATGAAAATGGGATGTTCATCATTGATTAGTAATGCCTGACCTGTGTCTTTAAAATCCTGTCTGTCATGTGAACTAATTGAGATGGTGGTTGCCTGTCAATAATAAAGTTACAATTTATAGAGCTCATGTGTGCTGCCTCTGTCTGGTCTTAGACTTCATATAGTTGACGCTCCACTCTCTGAACCCATTGACATTGTAACAAAAACATTCTGCCACTCATTGGCAGTGCGAAGTTGTGCTATTACATTTACTACCTGCCTCAATATTTTCAAATCTCCGGTAGAGGGGGCGCAATGCTTTTGATTAGATACAGTAGAAATTACTTTGCAATGTTAAAGAGACAAAAGCCTTTGACGCGGATGTAGAGTGTAACCTGTAAAGATAGCACCACCTCCCGATCATTTTGTTACCCTGTGATACCCTGGTAATTTGTACATAAGTTTACCGACTTCGGGGAGAAGTTGCTTCTTCAGACTTACCATCTCTTCTGACGGGACCCTCCGGAGGAAAATAATCAATTGAGTATTGATACACACCCAACTAAAAAGTAATTTTACAGGTAAATTGCAACCCTATCGAATGCAAATGAAACCATACCTTGCATAGCCTACATTTTGCACTACTCCAAATTTGGTTGCATGCCATTAGGATACTAACCTACATTTGATCTGTTGAATTGAATGCGCATTGTTCAAGAGATGTTAAATTATTTATTATAAATCCAACATATTTTTATTTATTTATGTTGCATCATAGTCATAATCGGAAATTGGTTTTGTTTATAATCGCTGCATCAGACAGTCGCACCAGTTGACATGTCGGAATTGACAGGTTTCTATTCAGTGCCAGATTTAGCCAGTTTGCTAGTTTTCATCTGTAGTCCCCTGGGCAGATAGGCTAGATAATAGATAGCCTACTGTGGTTATCTTGTAAATCAGACTTTACTACATGGGGCGATTAGTGTTAAAATATGTTATGTTGATAACGCTAAATATGACACCAATAGGATATAATGATTTATTAAACTTTAAAGTCATTACAGTATGAACAAGAGCTAAACGCGGAATGGGAATGTACTTTCAGAGAAAACACATGAAACTGATAGGGTGATTCAGAAGATAGCTGGAGGGGGATTTGGACCTTTGCCAATAAAAAAGTGAATGCTGCAACCTGGCCTCAGAGCATTTCGTATCATTATGTATGTAAATTCGAAACACTGCATTTAGTTATCTTACATTTC